TTACAGATCTTTATATATGAAAGACATCAGTGTCATAATAGTAACAACCATTTCTTGTTTTTAATATGAAAATTTATAAACATTCAGAAAAATTGAAAGAATAATACAGTGAACATCACCTCTCTTCAAAAATTAACATTTTGCCATTTTGTTTTATGTGTGCATATACTTTTATAGTGTATCATAAAGATACATTTGTATAAGATATTACTATATAATAGACATATTTAATAATAGATTGTCTCTTTAGTTCACTATAGTCTCAAAAACACCAAATACACTCCCCTCCCTCCCCCATAATATTTGCCTTTTCAAAAACCCAGGCCAGTGATCTTTTGGACTGTCCTACCTTCTAGATTTGTCTGTTCCTTGTCTCTCAGTCCCCTATATTTGCCATTAACAAATATTAAAGTTAAGCTAGTGGTTCAGTTAGATTCATGTTGAACAGTTTTGGTAAGAATACTTCATAGGCAATGCTGTATCTTTCATATTATATCATATGTGTGGGGATAGATTGTCCCAAAGATCACTTGATTAGGGCAGTCCGGCACACAGCAGGGGATTTTCTTAGGCTCTACTTGGCAGTCAAACACAAAAGGCTTCAGTGAGTCACACTTGGCACTCACAGGTAGTCACATAGCAGGACAGTACTGGGTATTTCTCCTCAGTGAGTCCTCACAGCAGTCCACTGAGTGGTATACAGCTTGGGTACAAGGAAAGGAGACACAGTATGCAGTAGTCATCCTGGCCTAGAAGTCTCATATCCCAAATAGAAACTGGCACCTTTTTAACAGCCCCTGGACATACCTTCCAGATCCCTGTTATACCCGTTATGGGAGTCACTATATTCAGGGAAACCCAAAATTTAAGCGTTTAGAGACCTCAGTACATGCAATTTTCCAGTCAGGAACCACTTTTATCATAAGTAGTATTGCCTGGTAATAGAGCTAGAAAGTTAACTGAAGATCAGATTTGTCTTTAGAGAAGGATAACAGGTTTTGTTAAACTTACACATATACTGGTCACTACCTGTTAAGTTCTTCAATCCATCTGCATTTTATTTTCCTGTACATTATGAAGCTATAACTCAATTCTTTTTTCTCAGAATGAAACAAATTGCCCAACACCAGTTATTAAACAGTCTCTTCTCTTTCTACTGATGTACAATGCTATATTTTATTATACACTAAGCCATACTGTTTCATTATTCTCATACGATGTAGTCATTTTTTAGTTATTTTCACTTTTCAGTACATGTTAATACACTGTATCATCAGTACATCAAATTTACCTAATTAATCTTTGTAAAGATTTCCTTGAATGGAATTTTATTTAGAATTTTATTAAATGTATATATTACTTTTATCATGAATAGATGTTAAATTTTATCAAATGCTTTTTCTATATCTGTTAAAATGATCTATGGTTTTTCTTTTTTAGTTGATGATATAAATTATACATTACTTTTGGTAGAGATTCTTTCTTGATAATATGTAGTCACTCCATCCAGAAGCATTGTATTTATTCTATTTACATATACATAGTCTTCTTTCAGTAGTAAGTTTTCTCCCTTTAGTTTTGACACATTTTTTGTTAGATTATTTCTAGCTAT